TTTTTTTTTTCCCATATAATAAACAAAAATCAATTAATTGCCTGCTTTGACAAAAAAAAAAAAAGTAAAATAAAATAAAACAAAACAAAAAATAATAATTCTAATAATAATAATAATGATGATAATTGAACTGCTAATGAACTAAACCAAATGGGATAAATATATCAAGGGAAAAACTGTATAAAGCAAGAAAAATAAATTCAATAGAAGAATGAATGATTGACAAACCAAATAAATGAACTGTATAAAAAATATGAACAAAAAAAAAAAAAACATTTAGTGTATGAAAAAATGCATTTACGGGAGGGGAAGCGGAAGATGAACGGGGGGGGAGAACAAAGAAAAGCCGTTGACCTACAAAAAGCAAAAGTTATTTTGGTGTGTAACGTGTGCGTTTGTGTGATACTTTTTGTTATATCAACTTATTGCTGTTGATAAGTTAAAAATTAATAATAAAGCATCTAAAACGAGAACAGAAAAATGTATAACAAAAAAAAATAGTGCCGTAATGCTCAAATAAAATATTAATAATCTATTTGTTTCTTTTTCCATTAGTCAAAGCAGCCATTTTTAAATTATAGCATTTAGCAGTTAAATATGTGACTGATATTGTGCTATATATATATATATTTTTTTAATAATGGCAAAGATAGTGCTGCAGTAGCGATGGCTGTAGAGTATCGGTGAAGATCCTTGGAAAGTTTGATAGACGAAAGGTAGGGGAACCAAAAAACTCTGATATATGAAGGGGGAGCAGAAGAAGGGAAAAGGGAAAAACTCTATTCGAAACAACAACTAAATTAACACTTTTTTACTTAGCAGTTTTAACTATATGGCGAAAAATTTCTGATAGATCATATTGCACTAAAAGTACAACCAGAACCAGAGAAGAAAAAAATATGGGATAAAAAAATTGACTCAGTTAATCGACCAAATATTTTCCTATGCACGAAGGAAAAAGTTATGCTCAACTTTTTTTTTTTGAGTTGTTTTAGGTTTAGGCGACGTTAATAAGTGAATTTTAATCAATAATATTACTTATCAATTTGGTTGATTAAAAGAAAACAATTGAAAAAAACTATCAGCAAAAAAAAATGATAAAAATTTTGTTGGTAAACAGTATTTATCCTTTTTTTTTTTACTATTAGTGCTTTAGTGTTAAAAATAAATTATTTTATCAGCATATATCCCACTGCTTGTCACTTTCTGAAGTATCCTCAATTAAAACTGCTAGTTTACTGCTTTTTTTTTTGTTTTTATATGATAAGCTGCTTATTAGTTTTGTTTGATCGTTCAATTAGGCTGCTATCTTTGAAGGTGAAAAAAAAAAAAGATATTATTAGAAAAAATAGATAATAAACAAAAAAAAAAAACTAAAAAACATTTGTACTTTTTAGACTGTTTACCGACGACAGTACGGTGTCGAAACAAACAAAACTAAAGTTTTTCAATTTGAAACTCAAAACTGCGCTACTCCAAAATTATTTACACACTGCTTTTCGGATAACCGTGTTATTTTCCATGGTTGAAGAGCATAAACCTTTTCAAGTATCTTTAACAACCAAAATTTTTTTCCACTAAAAAACTTTGGCTAAATTTTCTCCCTCATTTTTCTTCTCTCAAAAAAAAAAAAAAAAAAAAAAAAAAAAAAAAA